GGTGGCAAGGTTTAGGGGCACTGGACTACCATCTGGCTGACCATGGTTTGAGTCCCAGATCTGGTGGCTTACTTTCTCACTTTCCCTCTCTCTCTCTCTCACACTGTCCCTCTCTGTCGAATTAAAATAAATAAATAAATGAATGAATGAATAAAATAATTCTTAAGAAAAAAAGTTACTTTCCATGGACACTTTTTCAGAAAGCTATTAGACAATGTGCTCTACCAGAATAACAGAATAAGCCAAAAGAGAAGAGCAAGTGATTGAACCCTGTTAACCAACAAAGCAAATTCCCAGGATGAAAATTATAACAGTATCCCTGATTAGAAATGGAGAATAGAGAGGCCAGCAGGTGGCATGGTGGTTAAGGTATTAGACTCCTACATAGCTGGCAATAGTTCAAACCCTGGGTCTGGCAGTTTGAAACTCATACCGGGCACATCTGCATGAGTGCCCCAAATCCCAAGAGCATAATGAAGGAGAAGGGAATGTAGTGTGGTCATCACCACTGGGGGATGACTTCTCGCTTTCTCTCTCTTGGCCTCTCTCTGTCTCTCTGGTAAGCGCATGTGCCCTATAGCAAACATCTCTTCCAAAAACTAAAAGAAATGGAGAACAGCATTGACAAAAAGATTTCTGGAGGAGAAATAGACTAAGAGAGTCCAACCTGCTAGATTTGGAAAATTTTATGGCAAGGATGTTACAGGGTTTAGGAAGAATTGGGAATGAGTTTAGAGAAAATCAGCACTTAGGATAAACAAAGTAGCTCCCTAGATACTATATAAAGTGGGAAAGGTGGATTATTTACAGTATGAGACAGAAGTCCCTGTATTTAAGTAACCCATAATCTAATTATAGAGCTTATTCACAGAGAGAATGTGGACCAGTGTTTTTCAACCTTTTTTGACACAGTCTCAAGCTAAGAAATACACTTCACATGATGAGCCAGTCAAGCAACAAAAATACCATGAAACGACATTACTCTTTGTTATGTACAACACATTTTGATATTTTTTGTCCTGGTCTACTGTATTCCAGGCTTTCAAAGGCAGATCACGACCCACAAAATTGAATTCATGAGTCACTAGTAGGTTATAACCCACATTTTAAAAAACACTGCAAAAGACCCTGGCATGTTTTATTAAGAAGAAAAGAAAAAGAAATCACTTCTGGAGTGGAGAACTGGAAGAGGCAGGAAGGATGCTGAGAAAAGCACAGACTTGGCCTCACCATGGTGGAGGGCACTGCTGAGACAATGTGCTCTGCAGGTTGGGACCACATGGAAACCTGGGTTTGATTTCAGGTCCAACCTAAAGTCCAGACAGTGGTATGTGCCTATGATCCAGTGACTATGGAGTCAGAACCAAGAGAACTGTGAGCTCAAGGCTAGCCTGGGCAATAAAGGCCCTGCTTAAAATGTAAAAATTAAAAACAAAAAACAACAACAACAACAAAAAACTGGGAATGGTGGCGCATGCCTATAGTCCTAGCTAGGAGGCTAAGGCGGGAGGATCACAACACAATAAGACCCTGTCTAGAAAGAAAAAGGAAAAGCAGTAACTTACAAAGAAATATTGGAGATGAACTTTCAAAGGCCACATGGCTGGCCTCGTAATTCAGTGGGGATCTATTTGGAGAGCAAGATCACTGACCATGGTTTGAGTACCCGGCCCAGAGACTTGAAAAACACACTAGATATATGTATGAGTGTGCCCCAAATCCTGATGGGATGAAGAAACAGAGGGGAAAAAAATGTAACATGACTATGTCTCATTGAATTCTCTCTCTCTCTCTCTCTCTCTCTCTCTCTTTCTGAGTCCATATACCCTATGGCAATTTTTTTAAAAAGGAAAATGAACCAAGTATCCTAGTTGGACACGCAGAGAAGGGGAAGAAGTTTGTTATAGATGAAGGGAAAGGAAGTAAAGCCTCAAAAGCAGGAAAGCAAAGGATATGACACAGATACATCAGAGAGTGGGTAGGTCTTCATGAAGGAGAATGGTAGAAATGAGACAGACAGACAGACATGTTAGGGACTAACCACCAAAAGCTTGATGACAATGCTAAGGAATCTGATGTTATTTTAATGATGGAGATCAAAGGCGTGTGGAGTGGGGTTATTTCAAATTGCATTGATGTCTGTATCATCTCACTACAACATACTTATTAATTTTGTATTAATAAAAATTACATGAAGTAAAAACATGTGACTAGAAATGAAGTTCAGTGGTCAGTGAAAGAACAAGAGTTTATTTGATTCACTCTGATTTTTTTTTTTCTTCTATACCTTCCATGAAAGTAAAGAATAAGGCCAGGTAGTAACACAACTGGATCTACAAGGGAAAGGTACTGGGTTGAAATCCTGGGACTTCCCTGAGCACAGAGAGCGTAAGTGTGTGGTCACAACATGGGCTACTTGATGCCAGGGATAGGTCGCAGTATGAGTGGGGTATATGACCCTGCCTATCTGTCTCTTATTTCAAGGAAGAAAAAATGAACTTTCAAAAAAAGCATTATTGATCTGAATGGTTCAGACTCCAGGAAGAAGGGCAAGCAAGACCCTGATAGAACAAAGAAATATCCTTCTTTCTTTCATAATCTACTACAATAATACAACTAGCTCCTTCTACCTGAGATCCAACCTTAAGAAACGTGTCTCACTTCCCTGAGCACCTCAGTCTCTCTTCCCATTAGGCTTTTGCGCTTGCTGTTTTTCAATCTACGACATACTTCCTATCAGTGAACATTAAGCTAGATGTCACTGAGCTTGAGAAGCCCTCCCTGATTGCATGGCTGGGTTAGATATCCTTACTGTGGGCTCCTGGGGCACTTCTCCATCAAAGCACTTTTTATGGTGGACTTTATTTATCTTCACAACTAGACCATACCCATGGTAGAGGTTGTCATTGATTCACGAAACCTCTGTCTACTGCCAATGTGCCTAGCCCATAGAAGACAATAAATAGTGAATAAAAACTTTTTAAAATTTCATTTTCTTTTATACATTCAGTCACATTGTTTAGCTTACGAAGTGAATATTTCAGTATGTGAACATTTCTCCCTAGTTCAGTTGATAAAACTATAAAATATCTTCAACAGATAATGCCACATTTCTTTGTCCCATTAATGCTTTGCCTTCGTATTTTTCTTCTCGGCGTCCTTCCTCAGGCCCTACTCTTCCACATACAGTTTTAAAGTCTATACTTTGATGCTAAAGCCTAGATTTGAAAATCCAAAATCTGGCTAAGCAAGAACCACCAATCCATACTCCCTGCCCACTTTTCCTAGTAAGTAAACTGATTTAACTGTATAAACTATAACATCCTATAAAAGGGCTGCCCAAAATTAGGTTGCGTAGGTAAGGCAGGGTGAGGAGTTTGGACATGAACTAATAAAGAGCTATTGTGGGTTAAGAAAGGTAGGCATGCAATTAAAACAGGGCTTTGAGAAGATTAGCCTTTGCTGGTATGCAGAATATAATAGGGGAAATTTTTCCTCCATTTTTTAGCCTGTTTGTTCAGCTGTGAGCTAATGACCATACTAAGATGAGCAATCACCACAAAGACTGTGCTTGCTTGGACAGAGTTTAGTAATTTTTTAAAAGTTTATTTATTACTCCCATAAGTGAGAGAAAGAGAGAGAAAGAGACATCACCTCCAACAGGGTCATATTTTTTTAAAGAATTATTTATTTTAATTTTATTTATTCATTCATTCATTTTACTTAGACCTAAGAGAGAGAGGGAAAGTGTGGAAGCAAGTCACCTGGTCTGGAATTCAAACCATGGTTAGTCATGTAGGAGTGTCCAGCAGTTTAATCACCATACCAGCAGGATCATTTTTTTATTTTTTGGAGATGTTTTTGCTATAGGGCGCATGCGCTCGCCAGACAGACAGAGAGAGACAGAGGGACAGAAAGTGAGAAATCACCCCCCAGGGAAGATGGCCATGCCACAATCACTTCTCCTCCATTCTCCTCTCGGGATCTTGGGCACGCATGCACACGTGCCTGGCGTGAGTTTAAGCCAACGGGTCAACTACGTGGGAGTCCAGCAACATAGCCATTACACTAACTGCTGGTCCCATGCCAGCAGGATCTTGATGCTAGAACCCATACCCAGTCTTGGTCAGTCCTGGATCATGGATGTGCATGTGCCTGGCATACTCTGGGAAGTCTCCAGACACAAATCCAGAGCCTTACTAATGATACGTGCATCAGCTTTGAAGAACATTGTGTTGGGACCAGCAGATGGTATAATGGTTATGTCACTGGACTTCCATATAGTCGGCCCCGGTTTGAGTCCCAGATTGAGCAGCTTAAAACTCATGGTGGGCACATGTGTGTAAGTGCTTAAAATCCTGAGAGGAGAATGGAGAAAAGGGATTGCAGTGTGGCCATTCCCCCAAGGGGTGATTTCTTGGTTTCTGTTTCTCTGTCTCTCTGGTGAGTGCACACACCCTACAGCAACAATTTCTCTTTAAAAAAAAGAAAGAAAAAAAAGAAAAATAACAGCACTGCGTTTTACTGCTGCACCACTGTTTGCCTCCCGACTTTAGTATTTATTAACTCAAAAAAAGTTTTTTTAATTTAATTTTATGTATTATTATTATTTTGTTATAGGGCACATGTACTCACCAGAGAGAGATAGAGAGAGAGGGAAAGTGAGAAAGCAAGCCACCATGGACTCAAACTTTGGTCAGCCATGTAGGAGTCCAGCACTTTAATGACCGTGCCACCTGCTGACCCCCAAAAAACATTTTTTAAAGTTCTACTATGTTCTTTAAGCTATGTTGTATTATAATACAAAAACTTCATAATCTATAATCTGACATACAATGAAATTGTTAAAAATTATTGACAGTTGAGCCACATTAATGTGTCAGCATTCTGATACAAGAAGGGGTGTCTATGATGGATAAGTAAAAATGGGAAAAAAAATCCATGTAAAATGACAACTTAATATCATTTTCATACAGTCAAATCACATTTTCCTTTCTTACTTTCCTGATGATTTGGACTCCCACCTCTGGAGACCAACAGAAGCCTGTTGAACATGTGTCCAGGAGGCCAAACTTCCTTATGGGCTGTAAGAACACAGAGAAAAATTTCTGAAAGAGACAATTCCAATACAACAGTGTGTTAGGGTAGAAGTATCCAGAGCTTATAGTGGAATCCCTGAGGAGAGACAAGTCTTCCAGTCTGGAGAGGCAGTGCAGGCAGGAAAAGTTAGCGAAGATGTTCTAAAGAAAGTGGCTTTAGAGTTCAGTTCTGACAAATGGACAAGTTAGTGAACAGAGAAAGTATCCCAGGCCTGGAGGAAGACATTAGCATACAGCATGTGGAAGTAATTACTAGTGAGGAGGCTTAAAATTCACTAGTACTAGAGAGGAGCTGAGGACATTTGCCTGGGAATGCCAGTGGGTAAGTAAAGGTTAGAGAATCACAATACGCCTGACCAGTTATGCTAAGGACCTTGAAACTGCTCTTGCAGGAAATAAAGTTATTTATAGGGAGAAATGACAATGGTCAGACCTCCACTTTAGATCTCTTTAAAAGCAATATGGAGTAAGAATGGAAGGGTGACAAGATTGGGTGTTACAGAATCACTTAGGCCAGGCCCTCTGAAAGAAGCAGATGAGGATGAAGACTAAGAGGTTAGAGTGGAAACAGAACTAACAGGACAGACTTGAGAAATGTTTAGGAGGTAAAATCAGGAGGGCTTTGGAAATGATAGGATGCAGGCAGTAAATGAGACCAGAAAGTCCTAGAATGCCTCTCGGGTTTCTGGGTTGATGATGAGACTGCACACACTGGACAGGGACAGTTCAAGGAAAATAATGAGCCGCCAGGTGTGGTGATTAAGGGTGCTGGACTCCCACATGGCCACCGCAGTTAGAACCCGAAACTGGGGGACCAGCAGTTAGCATAATGGCTATGTTGCTGGACTCCCATGTAATCGACCACGGTTCGCGTCCCGGACCCAGCGGCTTAAAACTCATGCCGGGCACGTGCGTGTGCGTGCCCAAGATCCCAAGAGGAAAACGGAGGAGAAGGGATTGAGGCATGGCCATCCCCCTGGGGGGGGGGGTGATTTCTCGCTTTCTGTTTCTCTGTCTCTGTCTGGCGAGTGCACGTGCCCTATAGCAAAAACCTCTCCAAAAAGAAAAAAAGAAAAAAAAAAAAAAGAAAGAAACCGGAACTGGCAGTTTGTTTTCTCACATTCTTTGACTGTCTCTGGTCAAATTTAAGTAAGTAAATAAAGTTAAATAAAATAATTATTTGGAAAAAAAAGAAAAAGGAAGTTAATGAAAAGTGGAATGCGGCATCAGGAGGGTAGAGAAAATGTACTGTTTCATTCATGCATGCTGGATCTGAACCACCTGTGAGCAACACTGCATGAAGTTAGCTAGCTAACAGTGGGCAACTGGACATGCCACCCTGAAGGGTAAAGAATAAAGATCAGGGGGACCAGCAGCTGGCTAAATGGCTATGTTGTTGGATTCCCATGTAGTCGACTGTGATTTGAGTCCCGGACCCGGCAGCTTAAACTCACACTACGCGTGTGCGTGCGTGCCCAAGATCCCAAGAGGAGAATGGAGGAGAAGGGATTGTGGCATGGCCATCCCCCCTGGGGTGTTTCTCGCTTTCTGTCTCTCTGTATGTCTCTGTCTTTCTGGTGAGCGCATGTGCCCTATAGCAAAAACCTCTCAATAAATAAATAAATAAAAATAAAAGAATAAAGATCAGGGCAAGAACTGTACATTTGGGGGTCAGAAGCACAAAATGCACGTGAAACCACACAGCGTAGCTTTAATTCCCTAAAGAGAGCCACGTAACCCAAAGAAAAGGAAGCAGGCGTAAGTCAGACACCCCGGATGTGACATTAGGAGGTAAGGACTTATCACCCTAATGCTCTGGACAGTAGTTATCTCAAAAGGTTCCTCCTTTTCTTTGCTATTATCCAGAACTCATCTTAGAGCCTCTTAGGACTTAGTGAATGAAAAGTAGTGATATATGTCCTCCTTAGAAATAACTAACAGAAAAAGAAAGTCAAGGCTATAAAATTGTATCCATTTAAAATATTATTAACTGAGGGGCCAGCAGGTGGTGTGCTGGTTAAGGTTACTAGACTCCCACGTGCCAACTGCTACTCAAGTCCTGGGCCTGGTGCCTTGTTTTCTAACTTTCTCTTTCTTTGTCTCTCTCCAGTGAGCACATGTGCCCTATAGCAAATTAAATAATAATAACAATAATAAAATAAAATTAAAAAATATTTTAAAGAATATTAACTGAGCATCTACTATATGACAAGCACTCCATTAAGTGCTTTACAAGCAAAATTTATTTTAAACTTAAAAACAGGCCCATGAGGTATGTTGATTACTATGGATATTGTATAGGTGAAGAAACTAATTTATAAGTGATGGATAAGCTACTATTTGAACATCAGTCTGGGTATGTTCAGATCCCCCAGTCTTAACAACTATTAAGTACGATCTCTTATAGAAGCTGAAAATAGATAATGAATCACAAGAATTAACCTGTAAAAATGCTTATCAAAGATATTCATTCCATTTGTGACCATAGCATAAAAAATTGTAAAGACAGTATTCTGGGACCAGCAGGTGGTGTGATGGTTGAGGTGTTGGACTCCCACATGGCCAACCACAATTTGAGTCCCAGACCTGGCGGCTTGCTTTCTCACTTCCCCTTTCTCTATCTCTCTCTGGTCAATAAAATTAATAATAATAATAATAACACACAAAAATAAATAATTCTTTTTTTAAAAAAGACAAAATTCTGTTTTCTCGAAAACCTAAGAGATTTTTGCTATAGTGTGTATGTGCTTGCTGGAGTGACAGACAGAAAGTGAGAAATCACCTAAGAGGGGGGATGGCCACACTGCAATCCCTTCCTCTCTATTCTCCTCTCAGGATCTTGGGCAACCACATACACATGCCCAGCTTGAGTTTTAAGTCACCAGGTCTAGGACTCAAACTGCAGTCAACTGCATGGGAGTCCAGCCACATAACCATTATGCCATCTGCTGGCCTAAGTATTCTGTTTTTACACAATTACACCAACATTTGGATAAACATTCTATTATTGGGCCGTCAGAAAAGTCATGACACATTTTTGCATAGAAAAGCAAAAAAATACATGATGACTTTTCTGACAACGCAATAAATGGCACAGTCCAACACCTCATTCGTATTTAATCATAAAGAAGAACATCAAAAGTGGAACCAGAGTGGTAAACTTAAATATTTTTAAAATGGCTCTTCAAAGTGCAAATGTTAAGTCTGTAGCTAATTTCTTCTGGTAACAACGGGTAAGAATTCCTTGCTTTTTCACCTGTAAAAATGAGTCTTAAAGTCTATTTAATACTGTCCACCAGAAAAGGTTATATCTGACATGTCCAAGGAAGGCATTAAAGGCAAATGCTGATCAGGTGGGATAGAATTACCAAAAACAAAAGTATTCTTCAACACAATCACTTATCCAGAAACCTTCAAGCTTATATTTTAATAATTTTAAGTGCATGAGAGAAGACTTCTATTAAACATATATACCATTCTTTTCATTAAGGACTGGGAATCTATCACTTTTTTGAAAGCCTTGTATATCCGATAAATTCTTCTACTTCTGTACATACTTACACAACAAACCATAATGACTCATAACCACTAGCTATTACCTAATTTCTTGTTTCGCAACTTGTTTTGCACTTTTCCCTCCTCTTGAAACTGAACTATGTACATGAATAGTATACACTAAATTATGATAAACTTTAATAGTAATACTAAGTGTTTAAAATTAGAAAAAAACAAACCATAGTACCTTTGGATGGTTTCCTTCCTAGTTTTCCCAGGAAACTTCAAACAGATATGTAGTGTATTGTTTTAATAAAGATAGAAAAAAAAATTGGCTCTCACAATTTTAACAATTTTTAACCAAGATACACTACATGAATAAAATTCTATATAGCATTATTTGAAGCAAACCACTGGCTTCTTCTATAAACAGACTACAAACCATACTGATCCATTTTTACCACACGTCATTTCAAAATGGTGAAAACGCTCCTAAAATTTATATTATCATGAAGTTTTTACTAGAAGTCACACAAACCCAAAAACACATACAACAAAAGCTGTGATCGTGTCTCCTAAAGCTCTGCATGATCTGACTCACATTTCAAAACTGCTTTTCACTGTGATTCCTACAGCGAATTTCACCAGTACATTTGAGAACTTTTGCAAATTAAGTTAGAAGTGCTTGTTCACCTCAATTCATCTCTGGTGAATGGCTGTGTGGAACTCTAAATTTAAGTACAACTGCATTACTGTTCTTTGATTCATGTAGAATAATTCTTGGATTCATGGCAATGCCCAGCTAAATGACACTGCAAAGAAATCCTTTGTTTTCAAATAAATCAGTGCTTGGTTTTAGATAATGCTATAAAGAATCTTATTCATGCAGTGTACCCTAGTTAAAATTGTAAAAGTTGAGAACAACAACAAAAACTTCCACCCCAACCAAAGAATAATCTTTATTTAGAGGTTTTCTTTTTTTCTATATGAATTTAATAAAACATTAGAGATGGAAGGAATTTTGAGTAAAAGAAAATAAACAAGAAGAAAATAAAAAGAAAGAAAAACGTCCTTGCTCAGGGTTAAATTATTAGCAGATCTAACATTAGAATCCTCAAAGACCCAGAATTTAAAATTTTACGTCTATTGTTAGAATAGATTTAAAAATAGACCTTCCATTCCTGGATACTTGCCTCTTTGCCAAGACCTGTAAAGACTTCTATAGCTACCTCCTCCTTGATTCATGTCTATATCTTTTTCTACTATCATATTCTTACTGATTTTTCAGTAGCTGCTGTTTTTTATTCAATCCGTACTTTCTTCTGAATTGCTGTCCCCTCTAATAATCTAGAAATGATGCAAAGTTTCCAACTCTATGTGTATTTGCAATGCATGCCTTGTAGAATTTCTCTTCTACATTTTGAC